AAGGCTGGGATTGCAGACATGTGCTTCCACACAAGAGTTTTAATGTATGCTGGAGCTCTGCAAGCACTCCACCACCTGGGCTGTAGCTCCAGCCCTGTAGATTTCTTTCCATTACCCTTTTCCCTCTTTGGTCCGTGTGGCTGGTGGGGGTTGCCATTGTTTGAAACATTGTGATTCCTGCCCTTCCTTTGCAAGGCTAAGAACACTAAGTGGGAGGCACCCCTCTGTTCTCCTGCCTGGCATCCCGACAGGAAAGAAGCCTCTAGCTGGCACCAGCTAGGTCTCAGAGACCAGGGCTAGTCTCACTCAGTACCTATGACTTCTCCCAGCACTTCTCACCCCACCCTCTCCCCTAAACTTCTCAACTCAAGGCTGGGCTTTACTTTCCTCCCCAAGCTTCCCATTCCGAATTCCTTACATAACTCAGCCGTTTTGGCTCCCTGCCCTTCTGGCCCTTCTTGGTTCACGCACTCTCTTGGCCTGCTTGCCCCTTCTAAAGGGACTCTAGCTAGCCCGAGTGTGGCGAACATGGCTCTGGCAGGCCTTGCCCTTCTCCCCCATTCCCTCTGCCTTGCTGAAGACCATTAGACTACATTCCTAAAGCTGGACACCAAGGTCTATTCCCTTATTTGGTCTCTTCCTCATCCCGAGGCTGACTACCAAGGTCCAGCTATCAAAGTATTGAAGTCCAGCAATCAAGGCCCCCTTTTGGCTACCCCAATCAACATGCCCAGTTAAAATTAAACATCTTAGCCAGGCGGCGGTGGCGCACGCCTTTAATCCCAGCACTCAGGAGGCAGAGGCAGGCGGATCTCTGTGAGTTCGAGGCCAGCCTGGTCTCCAGAGCGAGTTCCAGGAAAGGCGCAAAGCTACACAGAGAAACCTTGTCTCGAAAAAATTAAATTAAACACCTCATTCTAACACGGGGTTTCCTCTTCCACCTTTATAAACCGCCATTTGCCTATGGGCCAAGTCTTGTGTCCTCTCCATCCAAAGGCAGCCCTTTGTCCCCGGGGGACAAATACGCCTTAACCCTCTCCCTTGTTCCCTGTCCTTGATCTCTTGTCTTTGTCTCGCATTTCCTGCTCCTTGTCCCTCTGGGGCAAATAAACCTTTGTGCTGAGAACTTGGTGTCTTGTACCAAATGTCAGCCCCTTCTCCTCCTCTCTCGCCCACCCCGACCCCCCAAATGTCCAGTCTGGACCCTTCCAAATGCCTCCTCCTCGTCCTCTCCCACCCCCAGGAGCAAGCACGTCCCCATGGCCAGCGCCCTGCTCCCCTGCACGGAGGGCTCCCCTGCACGGAGGGCTCCCCTGCACGGAGGGCTCCCCTGCACGGAGGGCTCCCCTGCACGGAGGGCTCCCCTGCACGGAGGCACCATGGCCAGCACCCTGCTCCCCTGCACGGAGGGCTCCCCTGCACGTCCCCATGGCCAGCACCCTGCTCCCCTGCACGGAGGGCACCCGGGAGCCAGGCTCCTTGCCAGGCGTCCCCCAAGGCCGCCCCGGCACCGGTTTCAGCACCGGTTTCGGGTAGTTCCTCGGGCTGACCCTGAACACGGGACGGGGGCAGCGGGGCTGGGGCAGAGCCACAAGGCCACGCCCTGAGCAAGACCACGGGGCCTCCCTGACACCCCAAGGAATCGCGGCTTCCCCGCCACCGCAGAGACCACCAGGGGCACGGGTCACACACCACGCACTGGGGGACAGCGAGGGCAAAGCTTCAGAGTCCCCCCACCAGGCCTGGAGGGCTTCCTAACACAGAACGGGGGCCACAGCACAAGATGGCGCCGCGTGCACAAACACAGACGGACTTCCGGACTCGGCCCCGCCACGGCGTCCAGGCCCGGGCGCCAGCCTGCGCGCCCGCTCATTTGCATGCAATGACTTCATTGGCCAGGGTTGAGGTCCATCACGCTAAGCTGGCTTCCCATTAGTAGCTTTCCACTCCTCCCCACCCCACAAGCCCCGATCACGACCGCCACTCTCTATTGGTCAGTGGCCCTTCCGTCACTCGTTTAAACCCCACCCCTCCCAAGTCCCGCCTCCCCTCGCCCCGCCCCGTCCGCGGGTCGACCGTTAGCCGCGGGCACGACTTCCTCGAGGCCGGTGCGTGCGCGCGTACGCCGGGCCTGCCGGCGTCTCATTCAAACGGCCCAATCAGCGGCCGCGTCGCCTCGGGGGGCGCCCCTTGACGCTCGGCTCGGGGTTTGCAGCCTCCTGGGTCTCCCCGATCTCCTCCCGAGCAGGCGTGAGCCATCACTGGAGAGACTGACCCATAAACTCGGCGGGAACGTGTGGCCCCGTGCGGGGAGGAGCGGGGAGGAGCGCGTCGACCGTCCATCAACGTGCGCGCTGACGTACGCGGCCGGAGCGCGCCCCCGGAGGGGGCGGGGCCTGCGGGGGGCTATAAAAGCGCCGTGCTGCGCGCGCGGCCGGCTCAGTGCGGCCGGGCAGGCGTAACGTCGCAGGCGTGTTTTTTGTAGCGGTTGTCGGAGCAGGTCGGGAGCGGAGCGGGGCCTCGAGGGGCCTCGCTAGGGCCACAGCGGCCGGCAGTTGGGCCCCCCGCCCCGGCCGGCGATCCGAGGAGTGCAGGAAGGGGGCCGGGGGGACCCGC